CTATGCTATTCTATTCTATTCTATGCTATGCTATGCTATTATATTCTATGCTATTCTATTCTATTCTATTCTATGCTATTCTATTCTATTCTATTATATTATATGCTATTCTGTTCTATTCTATGCTATGCTATGCTATGCTATGCTATGCTACGCTACACTACACTATACTATACTATACTATACATGCTATGCTATGCTATGCTATACTTTACTATACTATACTATAGTACCATACTAAAAATGTGTTGTAACACTTGATTTAAAACAAATACTCTAGGGTTGCCCACAATAGGCTAGTTTGAATAAATAAATAAATAAATGAATTAATAAATATGAAATGGTTGAAGGCTGCTGCAGTGATGGTTTTGTGACAAATTATTATTAAAATTATTAATGATAACAAACAACACATGGTTAAAAACTAAAAACAGCATTTGTATACATGCTATGCTATGCTACACTACACTTTACTATGCTATGCTGTGCTATACTATACTATACTATACTATGCTGTACTGTACTGTACTTTACTATACTATACTATACTATACTATACAATACTATACTATACAATACTATACTATACTATACTATACAATACTATACAATACTATACTATACTATACTATACTCAAACTGTGTTGTAACACCTGATTTAAAACAAATAGGGTTGCCTACAATAGGCTAGTTTGAATAAATTAATTAATAAATATGAAATGGTTGAAGGCTGCTGCAGTGATGGTTTTGTGACAAATTAGTATTAAAATTATTAATGATAACAAACAACACATGGTTAAAAACTAAAAACAGTATTCTTAACGGATAAAAATACTGAAAAAAATAAAATAGAAACATTTAAATCTATACTATACTATATTATACTATGCTATGCTATGCTATACTATACTATACTATACTATACTATACTATACTATACTATACTATACTCAAACTGTGTTGTAACACCTGATTTAAAACAAATAGGGTTGCCTACAATAGGCTAGTTTGAATAAATTAATTAATAAATATGAAATGGTTGAAGGCTGCTGCAGTGATGGTTTTGTGACAAATTAGTATTAAAATTATTAATGATAACAAACAACACATGGTTAAAAAACGAAAAACAGCATTCTTAACAGATAAACAAATGGGTTGCCTTCAATAGGCTAGCTTTAATAAATAAAAATAAATTAATTAATAAATATGAAATTGTTTTGTAACAAATTATTATTAAAATGATTAATGATAACAAACAACACATGGTTAAAAAACGAAAAACAGCATTCTTAACAGATAAAAACATTGAAAAAATAAAATACAAAATTGAAATCTATGCTATACTGTACTATACTATACTGCTTTCCACAATTCATGCTTTATTGTAACAGTTGTAAAACA